ATACCATGCAGTACTCAGGAACCCTGGAAAGTTTATGCTTGCATCTGGTTGGTCTTAGTGCCGATAACCTGAACTGACAACAGCGGCCGAGACATCCATTCGTTATTCATTCTTGCGTCTGATTGTCGTCTTTAGCTCAGCAATTGAGTTCCACACACACTCACATATCATCGATAGACATACAGCCGTCTTCCTTTTGGTATCCTGCACTACATCTGTACTGGACAACACTGTACAATCGGTACAATCGACTGACACGATGGCTGAGACAGTGCGGGAACAATGCGCTCACCAGTTACTCCGTAGATACCACTGCTTTCTCTCCTCCCGCCCATTTAGCTGACGACAGGGACACGTACCAGCCAGGGATCTAGGTAGTTTAGATCCAAGCCTCGGTGGGAAGAAGAGGGGCTATTGGGCCCTGAAAGGGGGCCATCGGCCCTTTTTTAGCTGACGGACTCCCCCTCTGGATGACGAGGTCACCTCGGAGCTAAGCTTGAGTAGTCTTCCTTAGTCGTTACAAGATCCCAATGCAGAAACGGGGGGAAAACAAGCCCCGTTCCTAATGTTTTACTTCTTACTATTATTACCAGTATCATTACGATGACAGGAGCCGAGCCACACCTCACACCCACTTCGACTGGTTCAATCCGCGTGGCTGTTGAGAAGATTGGATTGAAACCTTTTTTTCTTGGGGTTTTTGTTGGAAGTTTACCGTCTGACTGACTGACTGACTAAGGGGTTGATTGTGCGGATAACTAGCGGGTAGAACTAATGCCGAAATGGTTATGCACTTCGGCGTTATCGGAGGGGCAAAGAGCAGAGGAAACCTGAAGGAAAGGAATGAGATTCATGGATGAATGGAAACTTGCATATCCGGGCTGAGACCTGATTATTCTTTTGTGCTCGTAACTACTGAGTACGGACCACGAAGGCATGAGTTATGAGTAGTAAAGGACAAGGAGAGACAAATGGGAAATTAAACCCCATCTAATCTGGTCGGCTCAAGAAGCGGGAGGACGCTATTGGCATAGACCCTGTGGCTGTTCTCCAGTTAGGGTCTTCCCAAGAGTCCGTTTCTCTTCTTCTCTGGCTCTCTGGCTCACCCAACGAACCAACCGAGAATTCTTTTTTTGTTTTTTTCTTGCCGTCTTTTTTTTCTGTCTTCTTTTTCTGTAATTCTTGGTTTCGATTTTATCTTTTTTTTTTCTTCCCATAACAGTTAACTTACCATAAATGATGATGCCTATTTTGTACTCCACCCCGACGAACTAGCGTCGTGGACATTATCCATGAATCCATTATCCATTAAATCCATTTCCCACCTACTATGAACTAGTCCACTAGTGAGTTAACTCAACTGACGGACTTTGGACATGGCCAGAGCTTCTGGAGAGACCCTGGACGGGTTTCAAGATGCTTCTTTTACTGCGACGAAAAGACGAAAAGTCGCTGGTTCGACCGTTCGTCACCTCTTGTGCCCACCCTCCACTTCTCCTCTCACCCCTTCTCGCTCTCTCGCCTTTTAATATTCTTGGTCTGCCCGTCTCATTCGACATCCTCTCCCTAATTTCCAATTTTGATATCACCGACTCACACTAAACCTCAACTCCCATACTACCTTCCTTCCGAATCCTACTCGTCTCCCTCTTTCTCTCTTCCTGCGACACCTCAGGCTTTGTCTATCCTTCATTGCTCTGCAGCTTTCCCACTTTCGGCCGATCCTCATCTATCCGCTCTTATCGCCTCCTGTATCTACATACAACAACCACGGTCAGCTCACAGACAGAACATCAACCGCCTTGATCGCCGTGCAATTTGTTTGTGTGTGTGTGCGTGCGTGTGTGTGTCTCGAGTGTCATTCCGTCATTCTCCGTGCTTGTTGGGATTATCTCCGAGCCCTGCCAAATCGACTGGGCTGAATTGCAATTACTGTTTTATTTGCCCTACTCCTCCAGCAGCCGGTGGACCCCGCGCATCGACAGCCCTCGAAGTGATCGACATCGGGTGATTGTCTCGTTGTCTCAGTCACATCCGTGGGGAATTATCGCTTACAGCGAAATTTCTCCTATCCGACCAAAGACGGAAGACCCAGCAACGAGCTGATTGTGTGCATTGCATCTTCCATTTCAGCGCTCTCCAGGGGTCTTTTTTACAGATCGAGGGGGGTCCTCGTTACACGAAGTGATTCCGACAAGGCAAACATTCTCCTTACTAACTGGGTACGTACTTTGGATCTCTTAGTTCCCTGACCATGCTTTCTTCGTATGTTTTTCGTTCCTTGAGTTTTTTTTTGGTTCAATTTGCAGAGGTTTGTTGGTCTGTTGAACCATTCGCGGAGATACATGGTCGACGGGAGCCGGAACTCCGAAGCACAGATAGATAGCTTAGATAAGAACGACAAAGCGATTGATGACAGAGGACAGAGGGACTGAACTCGGAACTAATTATGACTCGAACAGATCGATTGCATCTTGTGGACAAGATGGCTAGTTGTCAAGCAAGCTTTGTGTCGATCTTGAACAACGACGACAACCCGGCCTTTACTGTGCGGTCTGCCCCCGGGATCTCTCGACAAAACTCCAGCTCTTCATATTCCTCTTACCACTATGAGCCTCAACCAACGACGACGACGACGACGACAAGGACATTAACCCCTGATTTCCGCTACCACCATCAACACCACCACCACCACCACCATGCCTACACGAACTCCCCATCAGTATCCCCCGCTTTGGCGCGCCATCCTTACGAACCCGTGTCTGAACCCACGCAGCCCACATCTCCCGGCTCCTCCGACTGTTCCTACGACTATATGAGCAGCGGCGCCAGCGTTCGATCGCATTACCACCTTAGTCGGCAAGAACCTCATGGCTACCGGCCCATGGCAGAGAAGCGGATCAGTGGGAGCTCGGTGGTCGAGCCTCCGTCCCCGCAGCCTTCGATTGGAAGCACGACCAAGGAAAGCATGGCTGCAAAATCGGGGGTTCGGAAGAACAAGTACCCTTGCCCTTTTGCTGCCAGCCATGGCTGCACCGCAACTTTTACCACCTCGGGCCATGCCGCCCGCCACGGCAAGAAGCACACTGGGGAGAAAAGCGTCCATTGCCCGATCTGCAACAAGGCGTTCACCCGCAAGGACAACATGAAGCAGCATATCCGGACGCACCGGACTCACTCTGAAGAGATGCCCACGGGGATGGCCACCGACCGGGACAGCGATGGGAGCAGCAGCTGGTCGACCCGGAGAAGCACCGCTTCTTCCACCTACGCCCACCAGCGGTCGACCAGCCAGGCCCAGCGGGAGAAATCCTCTTACGATGCCATGCCACCACGAGTATGATGAGAGAACTGAGAATTTTTTCTGGTTTTTTACCTTATTCTCCTTCTCCTTCTCCTTCTCCTTCTTTCCGACCTTTTCCCTCTTCCATGGTCAATCTAGCTCGATATGAGGGATTGACCGGCGCTGAGGGTGACCGCTGTGCGGTCCCCTGGAGCATACGCCTTCAGTATGGGAGTTTCCCATTTTGTGCATCGTCCGAGCTGGACGAATTTTCGATTGCAGGATAGACTTTGTTCCCATTCTTTGGACGATTTGGGGCTTGATCCCTCGTTCTGTTCATCTGTTCTATTGTGTATAGACGGCACGGAGAGCCGCGTGTATTTGTTTCCCCTTCCATTTTCTCTCCATGCATTTCCTGCCTTGATTTCACTTCCTCAATTTGTCTTCTTGTCCATGTTTCCATTTGTGATTACTCACTTTGCATATGCGACCCATTCTTTTGTTGGGTTGCGTGGGTGTTCTCAAGCGTTTTAGATTCTGTTCTCCTGTCTGCCATGAATACCTCATCTGTCTTTGATTTGTTTCTTGCTTATCTGGAGTTTCTACCCGGGGGAAGGGATCCACCACAAAAAATGTGTTTTATCTTGTACAATAAGTTTTGTGCCTATGTGTGAGGGCTACGAGGAATTGACGGGGTCACTACTGCATGACCGCCTGTCAAGATGGAGTTTCCGAATGCGATGATATCCACCTGAAGATCTATAACAATCTGATCACTGTGCTTTTTCCATATACCTGAATTAGATGTCCTCTTCCAGTGCCTACCTATTTAATTCACGTCGTGTATAGTAAGTTATGTCGTATGGGTGTCTGCCGTGTCCAATCCTCAGTAGGTAAGGGGATTTGAACCACGGAACGGGCGGGGACGGAAAAGCCGGGGAGACAAACACAAAGAGTGCAAGTCTGGAACAGCCACCGGGAAGGGACCACTTCTCTATCTCTACTTCATCCCTAACTTTCTATACTTTCTATACTTCTTTACGGCTATAGGTTGGTCCTACGTGGATGCCTGTCCATCGACCTCATTCTTGACCAGGATGATGGTGGTGGTGGTGGTGGTAGTTTTGGGTAGACTTTAACTGACTCAGGCCGACGACGATGATGTCAGTTTAGCTGGGATGCTTTTGCTTACTGAGAGCGTCTGGGCCGAAGGACAACAAGACTCGGCTGAATGGGATGGTGACACGCCTTTCATCATGGGGGATAATGGTATGCTCTCGCCTCACCAATAGCCGAGCCCCATCCCCCACCGAGGGGATTTGTTTCACAATAGTGGAGGAAGGGTTGCCCGACTGACTGACTGACTGCCTGAGGGACAGTTAACTCGTGCTGTTTTGATGGACCCTCCTCCGGCCGAGATGGGCAGAAACAAACAATGGCCGTGGGAGACTCATCAAGAAGAGGGAGAAAGCAACAGGGTACCTGGATGGTACCTGAGTGAGTGGTGGATGTTCTAGCCTTTGCAGAAGTCACTGAGGGGTAGACTGGACTACGACGTCACTGAGGGAGAGGGAGTATTCTTTTGGTGAATCGAATGCAAGCCAGCAAGCCAGCAAGCCAGCCAGCCAGCCGTGCCGGTCGCCACTGCCAGATCGGGAGATCCAATGAAGTGCCTGTAAATGCCTGAATTGGCCTGAGAACTAGTAGACTACCAATACCAACTGACTTTCCTTTTCATCCCATCATCACCTCTTCCAACTTCTTTTCTTCCACTCTCTCATTCCTCTCTTTTATCCCTTTTATCATCATCTCGTCCTCCTCCTTATTTCACCCCATCACTATCATCCCATCCATCCGTCCACCATCAACTCACCATTGTCTGCATGGCTTAGGTTAACCATCGCTTCATCTTGAACCCCTCCACCGAAACATCCAACCAACCCCCGCTTCGCCAGTTTGTGACTTTGTGACCATGGCCTACTACGACGGGCGCCAATATTCCTCTCGCCCTTCTGCTGGCTATAACCCTGACTACTATTATCCCCCCTCTCGCCATCAAACCGATGTTGTGCGTCATCATCGGGATGGCAGTGTCGAGTCCTTCGAGGCCGTCCACCGCGACTATCCCCCCGCCGATTATGGCTACGAGTACGGCTACGGCATTCCCCCGCAGGGAAAACCCACCCGCGCGTCCACCGTCCACGAAAGTGTGCGCCGTTCCCACTCCGTGAACCCCCGCGACCCTTACGACGACGGCTCCGACTACTATCGACACTCACATCGCCGCTCCAGACGCCATGACGATCGACGTACGTATATCCACCAGATGTTCTCTCACACCAATTATCTCGGACGAGCTAGAATAAAGTCCCCAGTCAACCCAACGTGCTGACCTTGCCTAGATGACAGGGGTCGATACTCCCGGTCCCCTTCCGACAGCCGCTCGCCCCCACCGCGCCGACGCAAGTCCATCTCCGAGCAAGCCCTGGGGGCGCTGGGGTTGGGATCGCTTGCTTCGTCGGGCTCGAGACATCGGGAGCGCGGCCGCTCGCAGGCCCGCGACCGCAAATCCTACTCCTACTCGCCGTCTCCGACTCGCTCGCGGAGTCGCCATCGGCGCGAGAAAAGCGAGCAACGCATCGCACAGGCGATGCGGGCCGCTCTGACCGCCGGAGCCATCGAGGCATTCCGCGTCCGCAAGGACCCCGGGGAGTGGACTGGCGCCAAGGGGAAGCGGATCTTGACCGCTGCCATCGCGGCCGGGGGCACGGATGGACTGGTGGACCGCGATCCCAAGAAGCACTCGAAGCGTCATGTCGTGGAATCGACCCTGGCCGGGCTCGCCGCCAACCACTTCCTCAACGGGTCCCGATCCCGCTCCCGTTCCCGCGGCCGGCACCATGGACGCTCCCAGAGCAACAGTGGCGTGAAGAATCTCGCTGCCACAGGCGCCTTGGCTGCGATCGGCAAGGAAGCATACGATCGGTTCCGCTCCAGGTCCCGTCCCCGGGACCGGAGTCGGGGCCGATCTCTCTCGCAGGACAGCTACGAGGACCGTCGTCCGAGACCGCGGAGCAAGAGCGTCTCGGACTACATCCACAAGGGGATGGAGGCGCTGGGTCTGAGCGAGAAGGACCACCGCCGGGACAGCCGGGACAGCCGGGACCGAGATGGCCGCCGCTCGTCCCGTCGCGATGATTACCCCGACGACTATAGCGACAATGAGTATCGCCGTCACCGAAGCCCGCGGCGCTCCCGACATTCTAGAGATGTGAGTCGACCAATTGTTCACGCCGACGAAGCTGGCTATAGCCGTACCCGTGCCCCGGATGAGCCCCGTTCCAACTCCAACAGCACCGAGGATTGTGACTCTGACTTAGGAAGCAGTACCGATGAGGAGAAGCGCCAGAAGAAACTAACGCGCAAGACGCTGGTCAAGACCGGCCTGGCGACCGTGGCCACAATCCACGCCGCCCATGAGCTCTATGAAAACATGGAAAAACACAAGAAACGAGCCGAGCAGCTCCGCGAGGGCGAGATCACCCCGGAGGAAGCGCGCCGCCGGCGCCTCAAGGCCAATCTCGGCGATGTGGCCAGCGTGGGCATCGCCGCCTGGGGTATCAAAGGCGCCGCGGATGAATGGAAACATGCGGCTGAGCTCCGGAAGGAGCGCCAGAAGTTGCGTGAGGAGTGCGAACACAAGCGCGAACGGCGCCATCAGCGCGCGCAGAGCCACGCGGGATATGACCATCACCAACCACGGACCATGTACCCGGATGAGATCGAGGAGCACCATCCGTCCGAGTATGGGTCCACCCCGAGCCTTCGGTCTCGGTCGGCGGGACGGTCGAGGCGGGTGCCCATGGCGCAGTATGCTTGATTGCCTGTGCAAGGAGGAAGATATGATATAAAGGGGCTCAGCGCCCGTTGGATGGTGCTGTGTGTAGGATGTGTGTGTTGCGATGATATGATGATGAGCTTATGACTTGATGAATTCGCGAGACGTGTCCGTCTTGGACTGATGTACTTTACTTCTGGGTGCTGTGGTTCCGTGGATTGAAATTTTTTCTTTGATGCGTGGCTTTGTGATGCGTACGGCCCTACTGATGAAGAGTTGATGATGGGATCTTGGGGGCCATCTGCTCTACCATTGATGATTGTTTTGACATTGCTTGTTGGGGATTATTTACTATATTACCAGAAGTGAGCTGGCTCGGGCCACAGCTAGTAGATTATGTGTCTTGTGTAGAGTGATACTGGAAGAGGACCTTATCTCTACGACACCTCGGAGAATCGCCTGCTCTACCTTCCTCCCGCGGGTACTTCACACGCTACCCAGAGCACGTCAGCTAGGTCCTCCTGAGAATCTGGCGGGGATGGCGGAATCTGGCGGGGGATACCAGGGGCGATGCTGATTACGATAATTACACATGGATTGAGAAGAAGTTTGAGATTGCTTGAATGATGGTATTATGGCTTGGATGTGATATGATAGTTGTTGTTTAATGCCTGGATAAGCGGCCTGTCAGCTTCGTGTTGACAGAGCTTGGGGGCTTGAATAACGAGAATCAAGGGATCGATAGATCAGATCAAGTGTAGAAGAGTCAACATCCAATCTCACAGTGTATTAGGAGACTGTCCGAATTGCAGAATTCTTCATTTTTGCTCATCATATCGGGGTTGTTGTGTTCTTGTGTTGTTGTTGTTGTTGTGTGTGGTGATGGTGTGGTGGTGGTGTGGCAGGGAGGATGAACAGCCAGACTTACACTTCTTGTTAGTTCGAAATAGAGGTGGATTAGACGTGAAACATTATTATCATTCAAATCTCTTGAGATTGCACTGCGCCTGCGCAGTTGACTGAGAAAGACGGAGGAAAGAAGAGAGAAGGAGGAGAACTGAACCTTGAAGGCAGTGGCCAGGTTTTGTTCCTCCGCCGCTGACCGGTCACGTGCCTCTACCAAATCGGTGTACTCGAGATGCGATCATGGATCGCATAATCTCCGGCCTCCGTCCGCGCCCTCTTGCTCTCTCTCCGTCTCCCAAACAACAACCATAATCTATTCCATCACCACCACCTGCATTCACTCCTATCCCTATCGCCAAAATTTCTCACCCACAAAATCACCTGACCTCCACTCCTCCACCCTCCAATCTGTCACAATGACAGAATCACCGGGCTCCCCCCTCTCCTCCATCGCCTCCGACGAGGACATGTCGGACCGCGACGACCTCAAGCAACCCTTCTCCCCCTCCGGCTCCGTCACCAACTCCAACATGCCCCCCTCGAAACGCCGTCGCACCGGCGGCGTCACCTCCTGGGACCGTGCCACCCCGGTCTCGACTACCTTCCCAGACGACCTCCCGCCGCCCTCACCCTCGACCTCCATCTCCTCCGACACCTCGGGCGAGATCCCCAACTCGCCCGGCACGTACGCGCTGATCGGCGGCAGCATCGACGACGACTACAGCGGTCAGGCCAACGACCAGGTGACCGTGTGCCGCTGGGACGGGTGCGACGCCGGCGATTTGGGCAACATGGACGGGCTGGTCAAGCACATCCACGACGAGCACGTCGGCAGCCGGCAGAAGAAGTACTCGTGCGAGTGGGCCGACTGCAGTCGGAAGGGGCAGACGCATGCCAGCGGCTATGCGTTGCGCGCCCATATGCGGAGCCACACCCGCGAGAAGCCGTTCTACTGCGCCTTGCCTGGTTCGTCCTTTGATCCTTTCTTTTTTTTTTTGCCCCGCCGCAGAGACCTTTCTAGAGAGGTTTCCCCTTCCGAGAATGGCATTTGGTACTAATTGACCCGACGGAAAAAAGAATGCGACCGCAGTTTCACCCGCTCCGACGCCCTGGCCAAACACATGCGCACCGTCCACGAAACCGAGGCCCTCCGCCCGTCGGACCCCGTCCCCAAACACCACACCACCCTCGCGGCGGCGGCCGCGGTCGCCGCCGCCGCCTCCTCCTCGGCCGCGCCGACCCCGACGGGGACGCCGGCGGGCAAGGTGCAGCGCATCAGGCTGAAGCTCTCGCAGCCCAAGGGCGGGGAGGAGCCATTTGGCGACTACGGCGAGAGCGCGACCGAGGAGACGGAGGAGGATCTGTCCGTGCCGCCCGTGGGCTCGGAGAAGGGGTTCGACGTGCACGAGCTGCTGCTCGAGGGGCCCCAGCTGTACCGGCTACTGCTGCGGCAGATCCACTGGGCGCGCAAGGAAGGCGAGCAGCTGCGGGCGGCCGGGGAGACGATCCTGGGCAAGCGCAAGGAGGCCTGGTTGGAGAAGGAGGCGATCTTCGATGATCTGGTCGAGGCGGAGCTGGGGCTGTTCCGCACGATAGCCGGCCAGGAAGGGGCGCTGCTGGCGGGGATGGAGCTGGATCCGCCGGCGGCGGAGGGGGAGGCGCAGCCGGAGCCGCTAGAGTCGACGGAGGGGGTGGAGGTGGAGGTGGAGGCGGAGGTGGAGGTCAAGGATGATTCGGAGGCTGTTCCGTCGTGATGCATCCTTCGCATCTTGATCCGCTCTTTCCGGTCCTTTTGACCAGAGGTTGTTGTCTGTTGCGTGCAGGCGGATCCAGAGTCTCGAACTCCGGGTTTCCTTTTTTTTTTTTTTTTGTGTCAATGTTTGCGGGTTTGTCAAAAATATCCCTGGTCTCTTTTTCTTGGTTTCGATTTTCTCATCGCTCGTGTACTGTATGGTATGGGAAGGAAGGGGGGGGGAGTTTGGGCGCTACAATCGATCATCATGACTATTTAAGTAGTCATGGCAATTTACAATCATCTACCTCTGACACGAGCAGACCTGTCTTTGCTGCAGTTTCTAATCACCTAGATAATGACCATCCTTAACGACTATCCAGCTAGAAGCAGACGAAGATAACCGGGTTATGTGATCCCCTCATGCCCCAGCGAAGCAGAGCAGAACTGTAGAAGAATCAAGGTCTGCCTCCACACACACGACGCCGTCAGTTACACAACTTGCACTGCGTTATGCGATGCAAAGCATCATAACTTTTTTTTTCCATTTCAAGTAACCCCATACCATATCATCATTTGACGAAGGACACAGGTCCAAGCCAAGAATAGCAAACATCACCCACCGCATGTCCAGGTACAGCACAACACAGTTCAATATCTCAACAACAACACCCGGATTTGTCTTTGTCCAGACAGACACCAAAGTCAACACCGTTCCCAACCCGCCAGAATTTTGTACCGTATCGAGTCCAACGCAAACACATGATGAATTCCACGGTGACGCTGACGCTGACGCTGACGCTGACGATCGAGGGAAAATACGGATGCCCCTATGCCCAGGCAGGTATGTTAGCATACTGTCATCCTCAAACTCCCCCCAGTGTTAAACCCTCCGCGCCTCAACCCCGACCAAGATTCCTTTGACTTACTAGAACCAAGTGTACTATCACCAAGTGGTGAAAACGTGACCAAGTCCAAGTGTCTTTGCCGATGGAACCAATCAGTATGTCACCCCCGACCCCATCCCCGGAGGCAGATCGTTGGGTCCCGAGCCGCAGTAGCACCGGTGGCCGCGCTTGGAGCAGTTGCAATTGGTCCGGATGTGGCCGCAGTAGCAGTGCCGGTATTTGTCGCAGACGCCCCAGCATGGCTTGTATTGCATATGTTAGTCGATATATATGGATTCAAGTAGGTGGTTAGGTGGTGGGTGGATTGGAGGGTAGGGCTGCTGCTTACCTCGCCACGCGCGACGAGCGGAGAGTTTTCAGTTTCGATGCCCACCAGGGAGGTTGCGGTTTCGGTGTCGGTGGCGTCTTCCTCGGGGTTGAGGGGGCTGTCGTCCTGGGGGTTGATTTCGGTGGTGGAGTCCTCAGTCGATGAGGTAGCGGTGTTTTCGATGACCGTATCATCTACCTCCGCCTCGGCCTCGGCCTCGTCACCGGGGAATGTGGGGATGGATTCAAGATCCCGCGGGGGCAGGAAGGGGAAGACGCATTTGCAGCTCTCGCCGGGGATCTGGCAGCGACAGGTCTTGCCGCGGCAGTTGCATTTGTGCTTGCGGCTGCAGGTGCCGTAGCAGGTCTGTTTGGGGGTGGGTTAGTATCTGGTTGTGTGTGGTGGTGGTTTTTCTGTTTTGGGAGAATAAAAGGGGAGGAAAGGGGAGGACGTACTCGCTGGAGGGTGGAGAATTCATCGTTCACGGCGTGCGAGAAACCAGGTTGTGAGGACGCTTCCGCATCTTCGTCTTCGGGGGTGGGGGTGGGGGTGTTGTCATCAGCCACCGGAGTCGCAGGGGTGGTGGTGGTATCGACTGTCTCTGCCACAGCCGCGTCGACATTCTCAGAAAGACCATCATCGCGGCGCCAGTTCTTGCAGTAGCAGGGAGCACCAAGTCGGTGGCAGGGGCAGACGATGTTGTAGGGCCCATGCTTGCAGTGGCATTTGCCGTCCTTGGAGCACATCACCCCGTGGCAGGTCTGCACTCACTCCGCGTTAGTAGCACATTCTAATGGTCCAAGGTAAGAACTGACCGTAGGTTTGGACTCCATGAGCTCGCTGTCGCTGATGAGAGAAACACCGGGGACTGGGGCTGCTGCATCGTCGACATCGTCTGCAGCTTCATCCGCGGCAGGTGTAGCGCTCTCCATTTCATCGGCCGTAGTGCTGTTGACTGAGGTAACGTCCCGAACCGCACGCCACGGCCCCTTGCACTGGCACTTCTCCCCGAGTCTCTCGCATCCACAACGGGCGACGACATCGCGTCCCTTGCACAGGCACTGGTACTTGTCCTTGCAGTTGCCGAGGCACTTGGTGCACTTGCCGTGGCATTGCTGTTTCTGAAAGACTATCAGATTGTGCCGTGGTTATGGGGATATAGAAGGGGGAGGGGGCTTACGCCTTTGTTCGAGAGGATGCTGATGGGTGACGTGTCTTCGTCGGATGAGTCGATGTCTTCAGAAGCGTCGTAAGAGCGGACATTGTCAGAGACGGCCGCATCAGAGGAGCCAGCATCAGAGATATCAGCACCATCAACACCGACATCAGTAACCGTACCCTCATCAACGACAGCATCCTCTACGTCAGCCTCGATCACGTCCCTGGAAGCCAGCGCGTCACGCCCACAGCTGCACTTCTTGCCGGGGGTTTCACAGTAGCAATACACCCGGACGCTCTTGTGCCTACAGAGACACATGTTCGAGGGGGAGCATATGCCCCAGCAGCTCTTCTGGTATAAGTTGGCTTTGTACATGAACATCTTCTCAAAGGCGGAGGACATACAGGCTTGCGATTCGGGAAAGTATCGGCAGAGGAGGTACTAGTAGTCATCTCATCGAGACTGTTGTCAGAGATACCAGTAGTCACCTCAACGAGACCGTTGTCAGAGGTATCATCACCCAAGTCAGAAACAGCAGTGACAAATCCATTTCCAGGGGCCTGGGACGCTTTATCGTCGTCACCAGGAGTAACAACATCGGAAACAAGGCCATAAGAGGTGGCCAGGACAGTCTGCATAAACAGACCAAAGAAGAGTAGGAGTATGAATTTGAAAGAGAGCATCTTGAAGGAAAGACTGGGTGTTTTCAGATGGAAAGGATCGAAAGAGAGGATCAATGATGGATGGGGATGATGAAGGAGAGACGAGAAGAGGAGGATGAATGAAAGAGAGAGAGGATGGTGGGGAAGAAAGAAGGAGGGGGATCGGTGGTGATAGAGGTCATATTTATAGCCCAGTCCGTGAGGATCTAGGGAATCAGTGAATGAATGATGAAGAGATTGCCGGCCGGTTTTGGCACGTTAAGCGAGTTTTACAGTGAATGATGCTGGATTTTTGATATCCGGCTCGCGTTGTTTGCACTTTCTTCCACGGTGTGTCAGTGAGAGTCTTTCAGCTGACATGGGCCATGAGTTGGACCTGCAGGGTGGGACACTGAAGCACAGAAGACGATGGATGGCCTATCGAAGTCGACTTAACTGCGCTGTGGTGTTTCTCTCCAGGATATCGTCAAGAGTAAACCCGAGAGCTACTTTCCTTTAGTGAGTATGGATCAAGACTGGAAGGCAAAGCAGGCAGAACACTTATGAGGTGTCGTCTAATAGCTATAGCTTGTCTAGACGACTATCATGCGCACCATACTGAAACACAATCTTCTAGGTTACATCTCCATCTACCCCCAAGCGTTTGCGAACAACCATCCAAATAATTCATTAACGCCGACAACTTCGCACTCTGTCCAGTATCATGCTCTTCGATACACCCTGTCGAAATGGACCGCCAATCGGGTACTTCCTAAGGCTCCGGTTGCCTTCGATATAGATGCTCAATCGCAAGGTGGCTTTTTTCCCAGATAGCATGAGATCGGTGGATTGAACGTATATGACAGGGGATACGATTAATTGGACATGTCAACTTAGTCTTTGAACAGGGTGATTCTCGGAAGTAATAATACTGTAGTCATCCTGTTCTCTGTTCTTTTAGAGTTTTCTACAACACATAATATTCTCAGACGAATGAACTAATTATTTCTGGACTATTGTTCGTAGGCTCGAAGCCTTAAGCAATAACGGTATGAAATGTTATTTGAAGTTCAAAGAAGGCAGTTCCAGGACTTTACCTAGGTCTTCATAGAACTTATCCATAGTATGCGGTCCGATACCGTACGTTGAAAAGGATACAACTTTCCGCAAAGAATACCCTTTTGTGCAGTGTACCAGGAAGCAGGTATACACACCACAACCAAGGGCAAATTCACTACCTCGTATGAAATCATACCAACCGACCCTCACTTCCCACTCTATCAATACAACTAACTTGCCCCATCCAGGGCTACCTGGGTTGACTGCCCGAGATGATGTCCATCTCTGATGTATGTATATCCACCACGGAAAAAAAACAAGGACCGTGCCATTCCCATGTAGCCATCTGAGGGGAAGCATGCACGGCTTTGCAGCTAGTCTGGCGCAGCTAGACCAGTCTCGAGACCTCAACAGTAACGAGATTCTTGTTCTGGGGCAAAAGCACGGGGGCAAATTGCGGGGTTGCGTGGGGTTTTCGTGCTCTGGCGGCCTGATCAAGCCGAGCTTTTGTGGGACGAACGGGACGAACGGGACGAAACGTATTATCCCCGCATATCTCAGGGCTTCTTTTGCACCATGGTGGGTGAATTTGATATGAGGACCGCGTAATAACTTAACCACCTGGCCCGGACAAAATCCATCGGAGTTCACAAAACCGGATCATAAGTAGTCTCTCCCCTCCTCCCTAGCCTATGTATTGCTTTGCTTCGTGGACTAAGGTAAGATAACCAGGGATTTCACAATGAACAGGTATCTTCGAGCGCTTCTCCCCCTACTTCTGAGTAGTGGAACCGCCCATGCTACTCTGGACTGCGACTGGGATGCTGTAAACTCCCTCCTACCACCAAATGTCAGCCTCTCTTTTGTGACCGCGATGCCCGAGGACGGCACCTTCACAGTGCCCCGAGGGGATACGGGCTGGCCAACCGACCCGATCGATCTCCCCAATCTCTGCGCCATTGGTGCCACCGTGTTGGGAGACACAGCCAACGCTGGCTTTGGCCTCGGTCTTTTCCTTCCCTCCCAATGGAATGGTCGTACGCTGTGAGTGGGCCAACCCTGAACTCATGTTCCCCCTCCCTCCCCCGCCCCTTTCAACACCAAATGGGTACTCTACAGTACGATTTGACGTGGAATCTCTTCACACGCAGGAACATTGGAAATGGAGGCTTGGCAGGAGGAGTGAATTGGGTGGACATGGTACGGAAATCACCCAGCACAGAATCCCAGCCCGTATCATCCCTCACAAATAACCTCCCGAGAGGGATAGGGCACCGGGGTGAAATATGGCCACGCCGTCTTCTCCACGGACACTGGTCACAACAGTACCGCAACCGATGCAAGTTGAGCGTACCAAAACCCCGATTCGCAGGTCAATTGGGGGTGGCGGGCCTTGCACGAGACGGTGATATACGGCAAGCAGATCACCAAGGCCTTCTACGGGACCAGGCCCTCGTTCCGTTCCACTACTATCAACAAGGCTGTAGCACTGGTGGCCGCCAAGGGTTCAAAGAGGCGGAAGCATTCCCGAGGGATTTTGACGGAATTATCGCAGGCGCGCCTGCGTGGTGGACGGTGAGTGCTATGTAACCTGATGAACATTGGCTTTCTCCCCGCCCCGTCTCATCGCTCCTCTCTTCCTCTGACGGCGCCTCCAAAATTAGTCCCTTCAGCAAATATGGCAGTTCTGGGTGGGATACGTGAACTACATTTCGAACATCACCATGATTCCCACGAGCAAATTTGATGTCATCGGCAGGGAAGTGCTGCGGCAGTGTGATGGCCAGGACGGTCTCGTTGATGTGAGTCTCGACTTTTTCTTACACCTAACAGCACGCAAGTCGAGGTACGAGTTCGGGTCACTGGAAAACATGCTTAGACGATCATCTCCGACCCTCTTGGATGCAACTTCAACCCCGAAACGCTGCTATGCTCCTCAGCCGTGACCGATCCCACCGATGCGGAATGTCTGACGGCCGCGCAGCTGCAGACGTTCGACACCCTCAGTCGAGATTTCCGGGCCACAAACTCGACCCTGGTCTTCCCGGCCTGGCTTCGCGGCTCGGAGCACTTCTGGACTCTGAACATCGACGGCGGGGGCGCCGAACATCATCGGACTCGGATACATCCAATACATGCTGGGGTTGGGGCCCGAGTGGGCGTGGCAATCGTTCAACGAGGATGTGATCCAACTCTCCGAGCGGCTCGATCCCGGGCAGGCCGATGCGGCGGCCTACAATCTGAGTGCCTTCTCCCACGGGGGAGGCAAGCTGCTCCATTATCATGGCATGAGCGATGGTGGCATCGCCACGGGGGCCAGTTACTACCTCTACGAGCAGATCGATCGCACTCCCACCCCTCAGGGTGTACACGTGGATAACTTCTATCGCTTCTTTCCTATCCCTGGGATGGGATCAGTGGGATTTTCCCCTCAAAGCTTGGTCAAGGATCCTTGTCCCCAGGCCGGTAACTAACTTGCTCGTCGTTGAACAGGCATTGCCTTGACACAGCCGATTACGTGAACGCTCCGTACTACATCACCGGGATCAGTATGACAACCAACGGGAAGTACTCAGTGCCGAACTTCCACGATGCGAAGCATGACGTCCTGCTGGCGCTGATGGAATGGGTCGAGAATGGCACGGCGCTGGACGCGGTCATCGGGACCGCCTACGCCAATTTTACCACAATGGATGCCATCACGCGCCAACGGCCTATTTGTGCCCATCCCAAGCTGGCCCAGTATCAGGGACGCGGGGATCCCGACCGTCCGGAGAACTGGAGGTGCCAGGCACTGGGTTCCTAGAAGAGAGAGAGAGAGAGAGAGAGGATGGGCTCTTGCAAGGCTCACCAGTGTTGAAGATCGGAACATGACACACAACTAATGGTATTGGGCGTATAAGTGTTAGCTTGCTAACAACTTTGGTCATAGAAGCCCAAGAGACGAAGACCGTGGCTTGGAGAATGACGTCTGTCAGTCTGTAAGCATCAAGATCGTGCTTCGAACTCAGTTGAACCTTGGGAGTTGTGAACCGTTTCCTTCGCCCGATTATTCAACTCTGCGCCAATCTAAAGTCAATTGAACTTAGTTGTAATCTAGGTGGCCAAGGTGGAGTGGTCATGTCGTGAGTACAGTTGTAGTCCACTTTCCTTCGATCCACCCCAATAGCAGACATCTCCTCGGGGTCGTGTTGTTTCAAGCCTCAAATGATGATTACCAGGTATAATCTATAGATATATCAACTATATCAAGCAACTCACGCAAGCCATAGACCATCTCCATGTTCACTATGACCAGACCAGAAAAACCAGGCGATTAAATCATAGTACATTTCGAGGGTAGCCCGCATGGACCCTCTTTCTTTGCTGGCTGAGCTGGCTGAGTCGCCTGAGCACTCCCACCACCACCACCACCACCACCACTACCCCCCTGCTGCACAGTTCCCTCCGGCTGCGTCGTCTTCGCCGTATCTCCCTGCTGCCCCGCAGAAGCCGTCGGGGCCTCCGCCTTAGCCGGACTATCATGTAGTCACGCGAAATTCACACGGGAGAGATGCTCGTAGAACGACTTCCCCTGCGTCTCGGCAATCTGGAGCTCCAACGCCGTCGGCTGGCGGGACCCATCGGCGCCCTAAATCCCATCAACAAGAATCAGCACACAATTCCCAAAGACCCCCTACCACACACACACCCCCCTCTCAACCCCAACCAACCAACCAAGCAAGCAAGAAAGAAAGAAAATAAGAAAAAAAAAAGACATACCGCAAAAGTCCCCGCCCCCCACGCGGACCCGCCATGGATCTCCTCCAGATTCGCCAGCAGCGGGAAGGCCGTCTTGTAGCCGAGCGGCACGTACAGGAACCCGTGGTGGGCGAGGGTGCTCATGGCGGCGATGGCGGTCGACTCCTGGCCGCCGCCCAGCGTGCCCGTCGAGACGAAGAGGCCCGCGTACTTGCCGTAGAACCCGCCGGTCGCCCAGATGCCGCCGGTGCGGTCCCAGAAGGCCTTGAACTGCGCGGGGAAGTTGCCGTAGCGCGTGGGGATGCCGAAGAGCGCCGCGTCGTAGTCGAGGAGCTGCTCCGGTTTCTCGAGGATGGGGACGGCGGTGGATTTGGGCGGTGCGTGCATCTTGGCTAGGACCTCGTCGGGGAGGGTTTCTTTGATTCTGGAGCGGGTGTTAGGTTTGGGGGGTGGGGGTGGGGGTGAGGGTGGGTGGAATGGGGGCAAGGGGCTTGAGGAGGGGGGAATCGTGGGTGTGGTGTTTGTGGGTGGTAGGGGCATGCTTACTGGTAGAGGTCGGCGGTGCCGCCTGCGGATTGGATACCCTTGAGCTCGGCTTGGGCGAGTTTCTCGATGTGGCCGTACATCGAGTACTGGAATCATCATATTCAGTGATTAGTTGAGGTGTGGTTGATGGGAGAAGCCGTTGGTAGGCACGGAAGGGGACCATACATAGACGATGGCAATTCGGGGCGCCATGGTGAAGAGCTTATCTCTGCGAGAGAGAGAGGATTAAGGTACTAGACGTGGGGTAAAATCGACAATGAAGTGGAGGTGGGAATCAATTCACAGATATGTACGGATGTTTTAACTTCTGGGGGCTTCCATCCATGTTAGTGTATACAAAGTGGTGGGTAGTGATATCATGTCCTTCATCACAGGGCGGGGTTGTGGGTGGTGTACATGTACTGCACTCCACACTCCTGCCCCAGGGCGCTCCAACGTGATCTTTTTTTCAAATTCAATGCTTGGTTCCGAGTCACTGGTCCAGAGTCTGGGTCAGATTGTGTGCGTGAGGGCCCTCGTTGCAGCATCGGGAGGGTCCGGCAGTCGAGAACGGACCACAGAATTCACAGAATTTGGGAAGACGTCCTTTCGAGGACGTCACGGTCTTCTGTCTTGGGGCTACGGGCTGGGCCATAATTAGGCTGGATCTAAGCTACATCTATGATGCTGCAGAGGATCTCCATGACGTGGATATCTGCCAAAATGGTGAACCATGGGTCGTGCAGGTTGCATTTGAGGGCCGGTTCCGTGGACTGCGGGTTCCCCTCGGGAATCGTACCACCATCGCACAATTGAGCAACAACCTTTGACCAAGGGGTGGCAAAGGAACAAAAGGAAGAAAAGATAATGAAAAGAAAATATCTACAGCAACATTGCTATGGTCGTCGTAGTATAGGTCGACTGATCCGTGCTGCCGCAATTGCTTTGAGGGGAGACGGCTAGACCCTACCCACGTTGTCACTTCAAATTTATGTTCTAATTCATGAGACGAATGTTCTAATCATTGTAGCATAAGAAGGTTGAGATCTGCTTGACTTGATAGTATTCCATGGCAATTTGCCGCCATGCCCACGCCTAGATCGCATGAGCGTGTCTCACCTTCCCCTGCCCTACTCATTTATACAATATACAACTCAGACATGGATATTGCAGTCATTCCAGTCAGAAACTGCATGCTTGTAAAGATAGCAGACAGGTATGTATGATTGCAGCATTTTTTGGCTCGTGGGCTATACTCATAATAAAATAGGCTTGATGCGATAACAGATACCATCTCGTAATCAAGAATATATAAACCGGTGAGACTGGGGAGAAGCATAGAAAAAAGATACGCGTACTATTTTCTTCAGGCGCTGTGATACGAGAGCGTAGAAAAGGCCCAAATGATGTAGTGGGGAGCTGTTCCTTCCACTTGCACATTTTTCCCCAATACCGACTGATGGTTGTGATTTTGTTATGCATGCTGGTTGATCTGTTATCCTGCAAGTTCCCACTAGTCCAAAATATAGTGTAGAACATTCTAGGATCTTTTGACTAATTTATTTGGTTTTTGCGACGGGCGTTGTGCTCTCGGAAATCTCACCTTTCGGCATGCCGAAGCACTCACAACAAACATGGCCTGAGAAATCGGCATGCCGTGCGGGATTTACACCGGTGTCCCGTCTTGGCCCGGAGACCCTGAGTGATTAATCTTTGACTAAGAACCTCGTAAATCAGTCTGTCAGGTTGAGCAATCACGGCCGGAGACTCTAGATTGGCCAGGTATCATGTCCAGGATCCACTCTTATACGGGGCGTTCCGCGCGGTTGATATTGTTAAGGCTTGATTCAGCAAATGGTCAGTCTTACCAAGCGTGAAGGATGACATTTCGGAGGTGGTGCCTGGTGCCTGCAGATGAGCTTGATAAGGACCCTCGTGCATGTTAGGCACGTGGTCGGGCTCGGGGGTTGTGTATAAAGAGACGGATCTTGACGTCTGATCATGGTGTGTGTCTATCATCACCTCAATCTATCGCCAGGATGCTTCTTCCCTCTCTTGCTCTTGCGGCCTTCTCGCTAGGCGCGGCGGCCAAGTCCCATACTGGCTCGCCCGCTCACTATGATTTCGTCATTGTCGGTGGAGGCACCAGTGGCTTGGTGGTGGCCAACCGCCTCTCGGAGATGAGCAATGTCACGGTGGCGGTCATCGAGGCCGGCGAGTCCGCCTTGAACAACTTCAATGTGTCGAATGTTATGGGCTACAGCACCGCATTTGGTACGCAGGTTGACTGGGCCTACCAAACTGAAAACCAGACCTACGCAGGGGGTCTGCAGCAGACGATCCGTGCTGGAAAGGCTCTGGGTGGTACCAGCACTATCAATGGTAGGCTTGTCTTCTTTCCCTCCAACGCAAACCCAAGTCAGAAAAAAGAACCATGCTGTGTACTGACCAGCTCTCCCGCGCAGGAATGTCCTACACCCGAGCCCAGGACGTGCAGATCGATCTCTGGGAGAAGTTCGGAAACGAAGGTTGGAACTGGGAGACCCTGTTGCAGTACTACAAGAAATCGGAGGGCTTTCAAGTGCCCACCAAGGACCAGATTGCCCACGGAGCCAGTTACAATGCCAGCTACCATGGCCTGCACGGCCCTCTGAAGGTCGGTTGGCCCACCTCCATGACCAACGGCAGCGTCTTCCCCGTCCTGGAGCAGACCTTTGCGAAGCTGGGCGTTGAGTACAACCCAGACTCGGAGGGAGGTCAGATGGTCGGATTCACCGTCCACCCTGACACCCTGGACCGAGAGATGAATGTTCGCGAAGACGCCGCCCGCGCCTACTACTGGCCCTACGAAGCCCGCTCGAACTTGAAGATCATCTCCAACACGCGTGCGAACAAGGTCATCTGGGCCAACACCACCCAAAGCGAGGAGGCTGTCGCTGTGGGAGTCGAGATCACCAACGAGTACGGCACGCAGACGATCTACGCAGACAAGGAGGTCATTCTGTCGGCCGGTGCGCTGCGCTCGCCCGCCATTCTCGAGCTATCGGGCGTGGGCAACCCGGCCCTCCTCAGCAAGCACAACATTCCCTTCAAGGTCAACCTGACCACCGTCGGTGAGAACCTGCAGGACCAGACCAACAACGGCCTCACCTGGGACGGCGTCGACACCCTGACCGGCCTGGCCACCTTCTCCGTCCTGCCCTCGGTCAACCAGCTGTACGGCGAGGACAACGCCACGGCGCTGGCTACCTACGTCAAGTCCCAGCTCGCCAGCTACGCGCAGACCGTTGCCAACGCCTCGCACGGGGCCGTCCAGGCCGCCAATCTCCTGGAGGCGTTCGAGCGCCAGTACGATCTGATCTTCGAGGCGCAGGTGCCCTACACGGAGGTCGTATTTGCCCCAAGCGGACAGTCCTTCGCCATCGAGTACTGGCCCCTGCTCCCGTTCTCCCGCGGCAGCATCCACATCCAGTCCGCCAACGCCTCCGACCTCCCTGCCATCAACCCCAACTACTTCATGTTCGCCCAGGACGCCGAGGC